AAGTTTGAAGTGAAAGAGATCAATTTTTAAAGTATTGTTTTTCAATTTTTTTTCTCAGTTATTCGAGATTAATTTATTTTTGAATTTTTGGCTATTTTTAGAATGTCCATAACTACGCTTTGCGTCTATTTCTTCAAAATCACCAAAAATTTTAGTGAGTTTGTTGGCGGTGCTTTCCATCTACTACTCGAATCGATGGACAGCTTGGATGAGAATGCACATCGAGATCAGTGCATTGTTAAGGTCATTCCCTCATATTTCTTCGTCCATTATCTTTTTCTTCTTGTCAATGAAATGTCAATGAAAGAAGTTTAAAAATTTGATTTGTAGGTGTACATTCACGACGAAAGCGATATCGTTCGGATGGAATTGCCCATGCCACCAGCAGCAGTAACCTATGAAAAGATTTCCACAATGAGAGAGTGAGTACTTTAATATCATCATGGAAACACCAAATGATAAAAATGGGCGTAGAAATGGGCGGAATCACGGGTTTCGATTATGCTTGACCCAATAACAATATCCTATGCGAGGATTAGTTTATTTCACTGTTTTGAGACTGTTTTTCTCACCCCCCTTCACCGACAATGAGTTTACAGTACCATCTCGAATGCGACTGGTCTCAAAGCCATGATCAAAGACTTACGATACCATCACGAAGAGGGAAATCTCATCTATGACGTGACCGATCTTCGCTTGGTTAGTTTCCACCATTCACTTTTTGAATTTTGCACAGAAATTCAACAATAAAAATAACAAAATTCTTAAATTTGAATAATCTGCGCTATATCTCCAGGTGCTAGTGAATCGCACTACATCGGAAATCATCCCAGCCGAAAGAGCCATTGCTATCGCCGACAAGCGACGATCAGCTATGGGAGATAATATACCAAATATGACCAAAGCTCAGGTGTGGCAATTTTCTAAAGCTTGTGGCAAAGTTTAAGGGCCGAAAAAGCCTCGCGGATGACTGCACCTCACTAAATGCCGCGGAAGTTCCGGTCCTGTTTCGAACGGCGAAATCTAAGCAGGACTCAAAGAAATT